CCCCCCCCCCCCCCCCCCGCAGGACGACGGCACCTCTCCGTACAGCTCCATGGACCACTCCAACCACCACCCCCGCTCCATCTTCGAGGGGCCGCCCCTCGGCCCCGCTCCAGCACCACACACCCCCTCTAACGAGCGGGAGCCTCTACCCCTTCTCGCCCCCCCTCCCCCCGCTCCAGGTGTCCCGCTCGAGCCGCACGCCACGCGCTCCGGGATGGTCCCGCCCCCCGTCGGCAGCCCTGGCTCGCGCCCCTCGTCGCGCCCCACCTCGCCCACCAAGCGCAGCTCCTTCCCCAAGAAGAGCTTCCCCAGCCCGCGCTCGCCCCAGCGCGGCCGCCGCTCCGACCGCCCCTCGTGGGTCACAAACGAGCCGGCGGCCGACGGCAAGGCGGGCGGCGGCTCGCAGGCGCCGCCCGCCGCCCCCTCCGCCTCCGCCACCAACTCTGAGACGATGCACGACATCCTCCTGCGCGTGCGCAACCGCTCCGGCGAGACGCTGCTGCTGCTCTGCACGCTCGACGCCCTCAAGCCGCAGGAGCAGGCGGGCACGCCATCGACGCCGCTGCAGCGCGAGGTGCTCATCACCATGACGATGCGCGACGTCACCAGCAGCGAGCGGCGCAAGGCGGCCGCGCGCCGCCTCTACGAGTACGCGTACATGGCGCCGCGCGCCGACGACGCGGAGCTGCGCTCCCTCTTCACGCCGATGGCCTCGTTCGCGCACAAGGGCCCGCGCTGCCCCTGCTCCGAGTCGCTCGCGTCGGCGAGCCGCACCCGAGATCCACCCGAGATCAAAACGAAATCCAGACGAGGTGCACCCCGGGGTGCACCCGGAATCCGCCCGAGATGCACTCCGCCTCGGCCCGCCCCCGCCCCGCCCCCTCCCCGAGCACGCGCGCGGCGCGGCGCAGGCGAACGGGCTCGAGGCCTTCCTCGACTCGCGCGGCCTGCTCGCCCTCGCCTTTGGAGACTTGCGCTTCGAGATCCTGGAGCAGACTTGCAAGGCGGACGAGGTCATCACCACGTGGCAGTGGACCGGCTCGCACAGCGGCGACTACCACACGCGACTCGCGGACGGGTCGTACGCCGCGCTCGCGCCGACGTACCAGACCATCCGCACGCAAGGCGGGCGGGGCCGAGGCCATGGGCGGCGCCTCCTCCGCCTCGCGCCCGCTCACCGCGGGCCTCCCGCTGCGCAGGCATCGCCGTCGACACGATCCGCGGCGGCAAGGTCGTGGACCACGTGTGCTTCTGGGACGAGGAGGCGCTGCGGATGCAGCTGCTCGCGCAAGGGGAGGGCAAGCAGTGGCGGGGCACGCGGCACACGCCCGCGCCCGCCGACGCGGGCCCCGCCACGGTGCGGCTCCGGCTCTCGGTCATGGGGCGCTGGCGAGACAACAAGTTTATCCGCGTCGTCGCGGCACTTGGAGTGTCGACGCCGGCGAGTGAAGAGGCGGCGCCGAAGCAGGCGGCGAGAGCGCCTCCCCGCCCCTGCCCCCACGCCGCGCCTCCTCCGCGCCGGGCAGGTGGCGCTCAAGGGGGAGATGCAGGCGCACTACCAGCGCAAGGTGCTCTCGCAGCTGGCCTACTGCCGCGGCGAGGGCGTGGCGCTGTGCGAGGCGGTGGACGAGGGCGGCGGCGAGGCGCTGCCGGTGATGCTCTGCTCGGACACCTTCGCGGCGCTGGTCGGGGTGGAGGGCGCGGCTCGCGGCTCTCGAGGAAAGGCTGCCGTGGCGGGGGCGGTGACGTCTGATTGCGCCGCGCCGTAGGCCAGACGGTGCTCAAGGGCAGGCTCGAGCCGCTGCTGCGCTCGCTGCTCGTGCAACCGGAGGAGGAGGCGGACGGCCACTGGTCGACGCCCAACCCCGAGGCGGAGGGGGCGGCCATCGACCCGCTCGCCGCCATTCGCGCGGCGCTGCAGGGGCAGCCGTCGACGACGCCGCTGCACGTGCAGTGCGCGGACGGCCGCCACCGCTGCCTGCTGCTCTCGCTCTCGCGGTTCATCTACGAGTCGAAAGCCTACATCGCGGCGCTGCTGCATGACATGAACTGGCCGCAGGCGCCGCTCGCGGCGCGGCCTCCCAAGATCGGGGGGCCAGACTTGTGCTCGCTCTACCACCACCGGGCGCGCGCGCCAGCCCCGCGCCCCTCCTTTCGCCGCGTCGCTCACGCGCGTGCCGCGCACGCACGCACGCACGCACGCAGGCGCCCCGCTCGTGGCTCTGGTTCAACGGGCGCGGTTTCGAGGTTGCGATGGTGGCGGCGCTGCACTCGCTCAACCTGATGGTCACGCTCGTCGACATGGCGGCTGCAGACCAGCCGCTGGTGTGGCTCTCGGGCGGCTTCGAGCGCGTCACGGGCTTCAAGCCGGCGCAGGTGCTCGGCACGAACTGCCGCTTCCTGCAGGCGCCGTCCACGGACCCGCTGTGCGTCGAGCGCATACGGAGCGCGCTGCGCCGCGAGGCGACCATCCGCGCAAACATGTACAACGAGGGCGCCAAGGACTGTTTTTGGAACTCGCTCGCCCTCTACCCGGGCTACCGGCCCGACTCGGACCAGCTGCGCTACTACTTTGGCGTCGGCACGCCCCTCAGCACCGAGCACATGAAGGCGGTGGCCCGCATCCTCGTCCTCACCGAGGACGAGGCCACGGGATCCGTCTTTGCGCCGATGCCGTTTGCTGGCTGGTCGGGGCAGTCCGACTGCTACTAAGGCGCGCGTTGCGCTGCCGTCGCAATGTCGAGGGAGCGATTGCCTGCTCCCCTCGCGTCGTCCATGTTTCCATGTTTCGTTCTCCCTGTTCTGTGCCTCTCCCTCTCTACTGTGATGTCTCTTGTGCTCCGTCACTCCGCATTCTCTCTCGGTCCTCCTCGAGAGAGAGCCGTAGTCGAGTGGCGGTGGGTCTGTGGCGGTGACGGATACAGTGCGATCCGATGTGGGCGCGGGTCTCCGCGGGTCTGTCTTTTATCAGACGCACTCATTACAGCGCTCACTCCTGGTCCATGCATATGCACAACCATGCACATGCGGACATGGACATGTGCATGTGCATGTCAGATATGAGATATGCATACGCGGTACCGACGCGCGACGCTATACCCCCATTTTTTAGTTTTTTACCCGGGCCTGGCCCCGAGCGTTTTTGATCTCTGGCTGAGTGGGGGGCGCCGGGGTGGCGGGCGGGCGGGCGTTTTGAAAACAGAAAACAGAAAACAGACAGCGGCAGCGAAGGCGGCGAGGAGGCCAGGGCCCGCCGCAGAGCTCCGCCGGGCGGCACAGCAGAGACATCTGCGGACGGGGGAGCACGGGGGAGCACGGGACACGTCGGCATAGGAGCCAGGGGGGGTGGGAGAGTTGAGTCAGATGCAACAGCACCGTCTCGGCAGCGAGGCCCATGATGGCGACGGCGGCGACGTAGGCGAGACGGCGGCGAGGGTGGCGACGGTCACGATGAATGTGGCTTGACGAAATGGATGACGCCGTCGCGCAACATGAGACATCCTCGATGTCATCTCGTCCTCGAACCGGTTGAGCTCCTTCATCAGCGCATTGCCGTCGCCAGCTTCTTTGCGGCGCTGGGCGCGGGTGCGTGCGCCCATCCGCCTCTGATGGTCTCGGTTGTTGCACGTTTTGGGATGCCGTTTGGGGTTACTCAGCACGAAGTAGGCGGCGCGCAGCGCCGCTCTCGCAGGTTGTTTTTTACAAATTTTTGATTTTGTTTTTGTTTTCAGTCTAGGGGGGCCGACCCCCTCAGAGGCGGTGGGCGGGCGCCCAATCACCCAGCAGGAAGTGCAGAGATCAAAAACGCTCGGCCCCCAGCCCGTACGGCTCTAGCCCGATCACTTGCCCGTATGCCCGATCCCGATCATCCGGCCCGCTGGGTGCGCTTCTTAGCTCCCCGGCCCTGGATGTGAGGCTAATGACTGCACTCCAAGTGCTCCAAGTGGCCCCCAGCTCCACAACACACATTACAGCCTCACGATAAAAAAGCCGTCGTACATGGTACACATACATCATACATGCACACATGCGCGTGTGTGGCGAAAAAACAAAATCATGACACAATCGACAATGGTCAATGCGAAAAAATCTCCCCCGAAAAAGAGCATGCTCCCCACACCACAGCACGAGAAGGTACAACTACAAGGTGTGTGCGGCACACAAATAACGCGCGTGCCGTCGCGGACCAGTGTCACGTGCCGCGCACACCACCGCATGGAAGCACCGTGTACGTACCACATACGTTAGTACTGGTCAAACAAGGCGCAAGAGCGCGCTCATCCCACCTGCCCCTCGAGGCTGAAGACGGCGTCATCGAGACTGAGCACCTCGCTGTTCTCGCCGCGCTCCTCGAGCGTGTGGATCTCCTCACTCCACTTGCCAAACAGCGCCGGCAGCAGCTCGACCACGGAGCGCGACGCGTTCGCCAGCGCCTCCGCCGCGCGGCTCGACGCCGGGCACCTGGCATGGACGTGTCATGGACGCGTCACAGCCGTGGAGAGGGTCGCCTCCGCCGCGTCGGCTCGACGCGGCGCACATGCACTCCGCGACCGGCAGGCCGAGGAAATATGCGCGCAGAGCGCGGCACGGCGTCGCGTGCGCCACGATGAGCACCTACCAGCGCCGCCATAGGGCGAGGTGAGGACGGCCGCATCGCGCCGCTGTCCGCGGCCGGGGGTCGGTCGCCGGCTCTGTCGAGGCCTCGACCTCGAGGACGCACGCCTAAGGGGGGGAGGGGGGGAGGGGGAGGAGCTGGCTGCGAGAGCAGGAGCTGGCTGCGAGAGCAGAAGCTAGCTGCGAGGGGAGTAGCGGTGGCCAGGTGAGGCGAGTCCTCTCCGGACCTCCTAGCTTCTGCTCTCGCAGCTGGCTACTGCTCGGCGCCTCGAGGCGGCGGACCAGGTCGGCGAAGGACTCGCCTCCCGGGTAGCGCTGCGAGAAGCCCATCGAAGCGAGCCGCTGCGTCGCCCACTGGTCCTCGCCCGCCTCGGAGCCTGCGGCAGGCGGCGCGCAGGCGAGGTGGGCGAGCGGCAGGGTGAGACGCCGCCTCAGCGCTGCCCCCTCGCGCCGCGCTCGAGCAGGCGGACGCACGAAGTGGAGGCTAATCACCTCGGCTCCTCTCGGCTCATCTCTGGCAATCTCGGCTCCTCTCGGCTCATCTCTGGCAATCTCGGCTCCTCTCGGCTCATCTCTGGCAATCTCGGCTCCTCTCGGCTCATCTCTGGCAATCTCGGCTCCTCTCGGCTCATCTCTGGCAATCTCGGCTCCTCTCGGCTCATCTCTGGCAATCTCGGCTCCTCTCGGCTCATCTCTGGCAATCTCGGCTCCTCTCGGCTCATCTCTGGCAATCTCGGCTCCTCTCGGCTCATCTCTGGCAATCTCGGCTCCTCTCGGCTCATCTCTGGCAATCTCGGCTCCTCTCGGCTCATCTCTGGCAATCTCGGCTCCTCTCGGCTCATCTCTGGCAATCTCGGCTCCTCTCGGCTCATCTCTGGCAATCTCGGCTCCTCTCGGCTCATCTCTGGCAATCTCGGCGTCTCGGGCGCGTCTCGCGCCGCGGTCGAGCGGGTTGAGGCAGGAGACGTTTGTCACAGAGCAGCCGACGCCGCGCCGCCGCATCTGGGGCAGCGGGTTGCGAGAGGAGTGCGGCCTTCGGGTGCCGAGCGCGGCGTCGGCTCGGGAGTGTGCGGGAGGGGTGCGGCGTGTGCGGGAGGGGTGCGGCGAGGGCTAGCGGGGCAGTGCAGGGGCTTGAGCGTGGCGGCTGCCTTGGCGCGGCGGTGGCTTGGGTGTGTGGGGCGTGTGGGGCGTGTGGCGGGTGAGCGCACGTCCCGCGCGACCACCCTCGCCGCGTCGACCGCGCTCGCCTGCGTCGACGAGAGGAGGCGGAGGGGCGAGGACGGCGCGTGCCTGCCGACCCAGCTCGCGAGCTGTGATTCATTCATCACGGACTTACTAACTTAATTAATTACGTGCCTGCCGACCCAGCCGGCGAGCTGTGATTACTTACTTCTTACTTACTTAATTTAATTAATTCCGTGCCTGCCGACCCAGCCGGCGAGCTGGAGCGCGAAGGACTGGTTGGGGGAGGAGCAGCCGCCCTCCTCGCAGGAGAGGTCGCCTGCGCGTGTCCGTGGACGCGTCAGCCGCGTGCCGTGCGCGTGGCGTGCACGGGGCACCGCGGGAGGAGGCGTCGCCGTATCCGGGCGGCAGCGCGGCGAGGAAGATTGGGCGGAGCGAGATGTGCAGGCTCATCATGTAGGGAAGCACGCGCTGCGTCATGCGGCCGAAGACCTGGTGGGCCGTCACCTTGGAGGAGAGGTCGAAGAGCTTGATGTACGCCCCCTCCTCGTCCGCCACCGGCACGTACGACGCCTCGTAGTGCGAGACCCGCTGCCGCAGGTCGGAGAGCGCCTCCTCCTCGCTCAGGCCGGCAAAGTCGGGCGAGGCGCGCACCTTGGAGAGCATGTTGGCCTCGAGGATAGACTTGTCGGTGCAGATCGACTCGATGAAGACGATCGACACGCCGAACCTGGCACCGCCTCCGCCCGCGACGCCCGCGCCGGCGCCCCCAGCGGCAGGGCTCGCGTCTCCGCTCCTCCAACCCTTCCACTCGGCCGCGCGTGAGACGAGGAAGGCGCGCCTCTGCGGGTTCGAGTTTGTGGCGTCAAAGATGCCGATCTCGCCGCCGCCCGCCAGCCACTCGAGCAGCTCCTCAAACGTGCTCATCGCGATGCTCTCGCGCTTTGCCTTCCTCTCCGCGTCGCTCGGGTCAAAGAAGCCGGCGCGCGAGTGGTTGGTGGGCGAGTGGTTGGCGCGCCGGTTCTGGCCGGCGTTGAAGATCTCGGTCTGGTAGCCCGTCCAGTTGAGGAAGCGCGAGAGCTTGTGCGCGATGAAGGACTTGCCGCGGCCGGGAAGGCCGACCATCACCAGGATAAGCTTCGCCGAATCAGGCGTGAGCGAGGAGCGGACGGAGAGGCGGCGCTGGATCGCCTCCGGGATGTCCAGCGAGACGGCCTTGCCGTCATAGTAGTCGACAGGCCGGCTGGACCGGGCCACTGCCATCGGCACACTCGTGGTGTGGCCGAGCTCCCTCGTTGTGGATGGGTCACAGATAAAGAATTCTTGAGATCCAAGCCTCTCTCACAGCACACTGGCACGACAAGGGCGCAGACTGGCGCGGACTGGCACACACACAGGCTCACGATAAAGAAACGCGGCAAAAGAGCCTTTCGTGAGGCCCGCATAGTATGTGGGAGACTCATGCCGCCGCCCCTGCCACCCCTGTGTCAGTGTGCCCGTGGTAGTGAGAGACTGCCGGTGAGAAGCCGCGCGGGGGTGGAGGGTGCGTATGAGGCGGCGATGATGGAGGCGCTCGCCGCGTGCGGCGATTGAGCGCCTCCCTCTCTCTCCGGCTGCGCGCCTGACCGGTGCGGCCTCCGAGTCGGCGTCTAGCGCGCGCGATAAGGTTTTTGCTCGCCTTCCCTGGGACCCCGTGTTGCGTGACTCTGTGCGATTTCGGGCCCGGGGTTGTGCGTTTACGTGAGAAGCCGGAGGAAGGTCGCTAGACTGAGATGAGACCGCCAGTGGAGTTGGGATTCCACCGTGCACCGCGCTGCGAGCCTGTCGTGTCCCTTGTCAGGAGCAGGAGAGCCCCACCTGTGCCCCTGATCGTCCTTCCAAAATCCTGCTCGTGCAGGTGTGGACCCTGTCCTCCTCCCCTATCCCTCGTTTGGGTTGTCTGTTTTCTTTCTTTCTTTAGTGAGAAGAGGAAGGTCGCTAGTCGAGAGAGATCGCCAGTGGAATAGGGAGTCCACCGTGCTGCGAGCCTTCGCGTGTCGCGATGCGCTCCCCACTCCCGTTCTAGCTCCCGTTCCCCTGTGTCCCTGATCGTCCTTCCAAAATCCTGCTCGTGCAGGTAGGGACCCTGTCCTCCCCCCATCCTCCCTCGTCTGCGTTGTGTGTTTTCTTTCTTTCTTTCGTCCTTCCAAGATCCTGCTCGTGCAGGTGGGGACCCTGTGCCTGTCCTTCTCCCATTCGTCGTTTTGGCGTGTCCGTTTTCTCACCGTATCACCGAGGGAAAGAATTGAAGCATCGCACGACACTGTGCACGGGACTGGCGGCACTGGACAAATGGGCTGACAGTGGGGCGTCTTTTGTTCTAAAAAGGCGCGCCATTGTGAAGGCTTCAGCTGGGCCGCTCTCTTCGCCCACGCCCTCCCGTCGCCGCCGCCATCACCGTCGCTGCCGCCCTGGTTGCCGTCGCCTCCGGCGCCGCCGCCGCTGCCGCAGAAATTGAAGGAGGCCATAACAATGTGCGTGGCCGTCAACCGGACGCAGGTGGGCGCAACTGCCAGCCGGTTGTCCCAGTCAAGCAGCATCGACACATCGGACCTCCGAGAGATACTGGCGGATAACATTGGGTCTGGAAGCGAGGCCTTTCCGCCGTTCATCCTGATCACCTCGACCGATGGCTGCAAAGTAGACCTGAGTTTGTCAGCTGATGACAGCCGCGTGAGCAGGCTGGGAGAAGTGTCCACAGACGACCTTGTCAAGACCGCTCCTGGCACAGAGCTTGTCGACCAAACCAAGCTCGTCGCCACCGATGATACCGTGCAAGTTGTGTCCGTCACGCTCGTGGATTTTGTCGACCACGCGCCAGGGCAGTCCCTCCTCCACCGCCTCTGCGACGTTTTGATTGATGGATTCTGTCGAAGCTATACCGGTGATGACCTGGCGGAATGCAGACAATTCTTGGGTCCTGCTGTCTGCTACCCTTCCAAAGGCGATGGGGGCTACCTCAAGATAAACTTGTATGACCTTGGCCGGAACAGCGGCGTCAGTCTCGTCGCGGTGCGAGTCGTGGACGACGACTGGCGAGTGTCGTCGCCCTGGCGCAGTGTCGACGTCGTCTGGATGCTTCTCTGGCTGCTGCCAATTTGGGCGACCGTCTTGTTCCTGCCCGCGCTTGCTATGCGACGAGCATGCTCTCGGCCATCTACCGTCCTCCTAGAGCTGGAGCGCGCTCTAAACACAATCGAAGTGGAGAAGAAGCAGAGACGATTCCTGGAGGCGGAGGTGCGCGTCGCCGTGCGCCACACGAGATGGATCGCTCGCACGCTGGTGCTCCTGGCCATCCTGCTGCTGCCCTGGCTGCCCGCCTGGGTGGTCATTCCCGTCGCGCTCCCCCTCTCGAGGAGCAACCTGAACTTTGCAGCGTGGGTCAAGTCGAGGCCGTCCCGGTATTTCTGGCTCGCTTTCGGGGCCGTTAGCGGCCTTGTCTACGGCGCCTGGCTCCTCGCCAGCTGGGGCCTGACTTACGGCGGGGTAAATCAACACCTGAACCTAGTGGGCGATATATCTGACTCCGTCAAGAAGATGTGGTTTGTCAGTGAATGCGATCAGCTCATCGGGTCGAAGGAGGGCGTCGAGTCGATCGGTGGCTACGTCTACCCGACGAAGGGCAAGGTCTGCAGCACCTTCCTGCGTGCGGTACAGCCAGAAAACGCGCCGTACATCGCTTGGGTGCTGTTCGCGCAGGGCTGCGTGAGCCTTCTCCTCAGTGCCGTCTCGCTGGCGCTGCTGCTAAGGGCTGCGGGGCGCAAGGCCATCCCCGGTGGCTGCAAGGCTGTCAAGGCCATCAAGGCCATCCCCGGTGGCAGCCAGTTCGCAGCGGCCTTTCGATGCGGCGCACCAAGCGTCGATGGGTTGCTAACGTCCAACGCGGAGGGAGCCTCCGATCGGTTCGCCGGCTCGGCCAAGGAGCTCGTCACGGGACAGCCGGAGGAAGCGGCAACGGGGCTGTACGGGATCATCGGCCACGAGGAGGCGTACCTGCGAGAAAAGATGGCTACTGGCACCGCCGCCATCATCGAGGAGGCGGAGGCGCTCGACGACCCGGAGGTGCTCGAGAACCTGCGCTACATCCTCGACGCCTCGGCCGGCTCGAGTGCCACCAGCTTTCACAACGGCTGGCGGCGCGACCGAGCCCCGGATGGCTCTCGGCTTGGAGGGCGTCAGGGCATGGTACTGGCCGACTTTGTGGCCCTGCCTGTGGCGCGCAGGGCGAAGCTTGAAGAGGCACACGTGGTCGCGTTGCGTCTGTACTCGACCGCCGCCTTCCGCGCGCTCAATGGGCCGATGCGCAACCTCAAGATGAGCCACTGCCGCAAGGGCGAGGACGGCAGCCCCCTGCCACTCGAGCCTCCGCAGCTGGCGGCGCCGCACCCTCAGCCGGTGACGATGGCCTTCATCTACGAGGCGCTCAAGCGGATGCGCGCCGTCGCCGCAGCGACGTCGGTCGACCTCGCTGGCCAGGAGCTGGAGGAGCAGGGTCTCAAGACCTTGGCGGTGGCCGGCGAGCTCAGCCTGAGCACGCTACGGCAGGCGCGGTCAGAGCTGGCGGGATGCGAGGAGGGCCTTGCTCTCCCCATCCAGGAGGAGGGCGGCGACGAGGAGAGCAGCGTCATCGAGGAGGGGCGGGCTACTGTTCGGGAGAGCTTGGTCTCTGGCGTCGGGGCGGACGAGAAGAAGGGAGGTGAGAGGTGGGCGGAGGAGGTGGACGGCGACGGAGCACACGCAGCGGACGGCGGATGGTTGCGAGCTGCCGTCCGGGCGCTCGGCTGCGCGCGGCCGGCGAAGCAGGAGGAGGGGCGCATCCTCTGGCGGGGCATGGGTGATCTGCGCGCTCCGCCCCGCTTCCTGTCGATGGGCGGCACCGAGTTTGCCTGCTGCAGCACGACCTCGAGGCTCGAGGTCGCGGCGCGCTACGCGTCCGCAGCCGGCAAGCAGCGCGCTTTGCTTTTCCGGCTCAAAAGCTCAACGTTCATGAACATGGGCGTGGACATTTCGGAGTTCTCCGCCTTCCCGCACGAGAAGGAGTACCTGTACCCGCCCCTCACGTACATGCATCCCACCGGCGTAACCCACACGCTCGTGCGCGACGGGGTCACTTTTGATGTGGTCGAGGTGGAGCCCTCCTTCCCGAGCTGAGTGTAGAGGGGCCAGCCGTCGTCACAGCCCGCTCAAGCCCACCACGCCCAAGCGCTCAACGGAGCCGCCCGGAGGGAGGAGCCCCAAACGCCGTCGGCGTGAGATATAACCGGACCCCAACAAGCACATCAAATCCTCTGGCTCCTCTGCGCCGATACATGTGTTCAACTCAATATCGCAATCCCCAACCCGCTCTCTGTCTCACGCATATAATTAAACTTATACACACTCAACACTTTGTCGTTTCTGTGTAGTACAGGTGTGTATTATTTTTGCTTGGGGCGGCACTCATGATGAAATTCTATAAGAGTCGGAGGGACCTTGGCGCCGGGGTCACGAGGCGGAACTTGCAAGTCGTGGCCGAGGCGGCGACGGGAGCGGTGCAGAGGTGGATCCAGCTCAATGATGAGGCTACGGCGCGCATAATGAAGAGAGAGGAACACATCGAGTGGCTGAGGAAGCTCTTCACTGGGTGGAAGGAGGCCCGGCCGGCCTTGAGGGAGTCGCGGAGGAGGAGGGATAACGCAAGCAACGCAGGGACGGGCCAACAGCCAGTGGGACGAACGAGGGCCGCGACGGCGGCTCAAGCGGGAGGGAGCGGAGACGGTGGGCAGCGAGCGAAGTGGGTGAGACTGATGATGCTCCTTCGACTTAGGGAGCGGTTCAGCTGCTGGGCGGGCTTCAGGATGGTGCTCACGCGAAACGGAATCGACGCGATGTACAAAGCATACAAGAAGGGGAGAAAGAAGAGGAGGGACGCCGGTGAGGACGAAACAGAAACTAGCGCAGAAGAGAGCAGGACAGACCCGGGGACTGGGGAGCCGGAGCGGACGGCATCGGCCGCCGAGGGAACGTTGGGAAGAGGCACGAGGAGGGCGGCGACCTCAACCGACTATTGGAGGACCCGTCACCAGACGACGCAGGGCAGACGACGGGGAGGCGGAGCAGTCGCGCAGGGCGAGACGAGGGAGGGAGCAGGACGTTGCGGAAATAAGCAGGAGGATTACGAAGAGATTTCCATTAGGAGCAGCAGGGACCCGAGGGACCATGTGGAAGACGGCTAGTGCTAGTCCCCCATCGGGAGGACGACCCCGGCTAGTCGCCGACCACACCCACAAATAACCCTGCACAAAGATCGCAAGGGCGGGGACCTGTTCCTTTTTACCCATCTCCTAGTAGAGGTGTCCGTTTTATTTATTTATTTATGATGAAATTCTGCAAAAACCTGGCCGGCCCCTGCCCTGCGGAATAAGTGTGGTTCTTGCCCACGAATGCGTGTGGTTTTTGCCCATGCAGTGCATTTTTGCATTCGTCTTTTTGGAGGATTAGGTGCACACGCAATGGAGGCCGTGTGTCAGTGAATCCATGCAACTAAATGCAGTTTCCCGCCGCATATGCAGCTGAAATGCAGTTGCCCAAAGAATGCAGAAATGTAGCAGAAATGCAGTTGCCCACCGAATGCAGAAAATGCAGTGCTGCCCAAAGAATGCAGAAATGCAGCAGAAATGCAGTTGCCCACCGAATGCAGAAAATGCAGAATGCAGTCTTGAATGCACAATAATGCGTTCAAATGCCATGATATGTGTGATATGCAACATATGCAACAGTTTTTGCCCATGCAAAAAATGTGCATGGGCAAAAACCACACGCATTTTTGAGCAAGAACCACAACACACCCCGGATCCCTGCCCCTACGGGGTGTGGACCGTGAGTTGACCAGGGGTTGTGCGTTGGACGTTTCACTCCGGACAAAGACGACACGCACACGAGCTGCGGCCGTGTCGCCGTCTTAGCGGCGAGGCGCGGGACCGTCTGTGGCGAAGTGGGTCGCGTCCCTCGATTTCCGTCAACTCACGGCCCACAACCTCTTCCGCTACCCTACCTCCTACCTTGCGAAACTAAAGAAGTCACCGGATCGGTGAAGGTGGGGTACTATACCAACTAAAGTGAGAGAAGAGAGTTGCTAAAGTGATGGCTGGTGGTACTCTTCTGCAACCATAGTGTTTTGTCCTTCCTGTGACATGGCAGGCCACTCTCAAGCCCTACAAGCACCAGATCACCTCACTTGGGGGGACATGGGGAGGGGTTGACATCGTGATTTCCGCGGAAAAATTCTTTTCTCTGATGTGAAAATTCCAGCGTGGAGAGAGGGAAAACCCGACGGGAGGGGGCCCAGAGCCAGACCTACCCCCCCTACCTACCCCGTCATGAGTGCCGCCCCAAGCAAAAATAATACACGCACCTGTGTACCACGGTAAAGGAATTGTGTATATGCTGGCCACGCAGCCACAACGACACACGATGCGCGCCATAACGCTCACACGGACCTCACAAAGTACGACGGGTCCTCCACCGCGGTGACGAACGACTCGCGGTCGTCGACGTCGTCGCCGGTGCCGGCGCGGAGATACTTCAGCTTCCGCCCTCCCGGAGCCGCCCGGGCGACCCGCCCGCCACCGCCACCACCTCTCCCCATCACGGCCGCGCGGAGGCGGCGGCCGGCGGCAGGGAGCCGCCCCTGGCTCTGCGGGCGCTGCGCCGCGCGTTGCTCCGCCGCCGGCGTTGCACCGCGGCAGACGAGGCGGCAGACGCACACGGCCGACGCGAGGAGGAGGGCGAGGACGAGGGCGAGAGCCGCCTCCTCGCCGTGGCCGCCCACAAGCGAGTCGAGCGGAGGGCCGCCACCGCCAGCGCCACCGCCTCTCATCGGGGCGGCGGCTGGCGGCGGAGGCAGCTGCCAGAACTGGCGGGTGAGCTCGGCCGGCACGCCGGAGAGGGCCTCGTGAGCCTCGTGGGCGGGTGCCCCGAGGCCAGGGAGCCACGTCACTTGTGGAGGCGGCGGCGGCGAGGGCGGCGGCGGTGAGCGCGCGGGTGGGGAAGGGAGGGACCGCGGCGGCGGCGGCGGCGGCAGAGGAGAGGGGGATGGGTCGAGGAGCGCGATGCGCGAGGTCCACGCCGAGACGTCGCAGAAGCCCGCCTTTGCGAGTGCGAAGCGCCCCTCGCCCTCCTCGGCGCCCAGGTTGGCCGCGCAGCCGCGCCAGCCCGCCTCGCAGACCGCCTCGGCGAGGGAGGACGCGGGCGACAGAGCCGCGTGCCGGAGCAGGTCCGGCGCAGTCAGCGAGTTGAAGGCAGAGTGGAAGACTCCGCCCTCGCACAGCTCGGCCCAGTTGCCCTCCGCGGCCCACCCGCCCAGCGGCCCCCGCGAGCAGGCGGGCAGGGCGGCGCGGACGGCGCAGCTCCAGCCGCAGTCGCCGCGCCGGTAGTAGTAGAAGAGCCCGTGCCCGGCCCCGTGCGCGCACGTGCCTCGGTTGGTGCCCTCGTTCTGCCACCGCCAGGTCGGGTCGCACGCCGTGAAGACCCACTCGGACGGGTCGCGGGGCGGCGCCCGCTCTGCGAGCAGCGCGAGGGACTGCCAGACGAACCCGTGCATCACCTCCCCGTTGGTGAGCCTGTACCGCGCGATCCGCTCCTCGGCCTCCCACAGCCTCCTCTCCTCGAGCTGCGCCGGCCACACCGCGTCTGCGAGCCAGACTCCGAACGGGTGCAGGTCCCACCCAACCCACCGGTCCCAGTAGCCGCGGCTCCCGAGGCGAGCCTCATACTCGGCCGCCATCCGCTGGTACCGACTCGTCGGGTACCGGCCCGGCACCGGCCGCTCGCGGGACGGGATGGTGTCCGCGAGGGTGAAGGGCGCCTCGCCGAGCCGGGCCCGCAGCCGGCGGCAGAGGGCGCACGACATGGTCCGGATGGGGGCCGTCTCGCCCTCCTCGACGGTGCCGGTCGAGCCGACCGCCTCTTCGACCTCCCCGAGCGCCTCGCGCCCCGAGCACGCCCGAGCTGCCGGGCAGAGGTACATGTCGTACCAGTTGCCATCCGTCCAGCCCATCGGCCAAGCGCTCGAGTAGATGCTGCACCAGAGGGCGGCTGTGTACCCGTGCGCGGCGAAGAGCGGGTCCAGGGTCCGGCCGAGCTCGCGCCGCTGCAGCGCAGTCTTTGCGGACACCGACTCGCAGTGGTCGGCCCACGCAGGCACGCTCGCAGAGACCGCCTCGGCGGCCTCGCGGATGCAGCTCTCCAGGGCGTCCGCAAAGGCCACCGCCTCGGCCGAATCAGCCACGGTGCCGCCGTCCGCCGCGCAGCAGTCAAAGTTCTCCTCGCCGACAGGAGCCCATAAGACTGGCTGCCGCGTCGGAGTCCAGCCGTCTGCACACGCCGCCGGTTCGCCTGCGGCTGCGTTGGCGTTGCAGTCGTCGGGCCGGCCGGGCAGCGATGACCGACACTGCCGCCGGTCGCAGACAGGCATCTCGCGTCGCCGGCCGTCTGGGAACGGCGTTTTGTCGACGGCGGGCAGGCAAAAAGAATTCTCGAACCCTGGCGAGCACTCCTTAAGGTTGCTCCCGGCCCAGTGGGGATTTTGGCCTACTCAGTGACCGTCTAAGGGGCGCTAACTGGCTGCAATTCCATATCTTTTGTGCCTAGCTTGTAGAGCACCTTAAAAAACTAGTATGTCTTGGAGAGAGAGAGATTTTGTCTTGGAGTGAAAAGTTTTTCGATGAGGTGGGGGTCCGTGGTGAGCAGATTCCCAGATTCTCCAGATTCCCCCTCGAGAACCTCCAATTTTAATTCATTGCGGCCGCGGGTTTGCTCGGATTACTTTTCACTCCAAGTACCAAGACATACTAGTTTTTTGGCGTTCCGGTGCCTACAAAAAATATCCGAGATCATATGGAGCTTACCACAGGGTTTGCGGCGGTCACTGTCCTACCAGCGGACACAGTGGGCCGCGGACACCCGTGAATGACCTTAAAATCCCTGTGTGGTGGCGGCGTGCCGTCCTCCCATCCCTCCCTTGGGTTGCGTCTTCTTTCTTTCTTTCTTTCTGGCGAGCACTCCAAAATCCTGCTCGTGCAGGTGGGGACCCTGTCCTCCTCCCATCCCTCGTTTGGTTGTCTTTCCCCCCCCTTTTCTTGGCGAGCACTGGCACGAACACCAAAAAGAAAAGGATAAACTTCCCGGCTGGGATTCTTCTTGGATTCCTAATTACCGTTCAAAGAAAACAAAACTCAAAAGCCCCAAAAAATCCAGAGATGCCCCGCCCTCCTTTTAGCTTTTTTCATTTCCAGTTCATCTATCACACAACTCTAACACCCACACATTATCTCTCTAAAGAACCCTGCACAAAGACCGCAGGGCGGGGACCTGTTCCTTTTTACCCATCTCCTAGTAGAGGTGTCCGTTTTGTTTATTTATTTCTCTATGAGATGTCTCAGTTTCGCAAAATCTCTACACAGGTGACACAAACAAACGACGACGCGACGCGGCAACACGCTGTACTTCACTGTAGAGTACAACACGCTGCCTCCTCGGCTTGTGTACAGCCCCCGGGTCCCTCTCACCCGAGTGCGTCATATACCGCTTGGCAGCACCGCCCGGCGAAAGGCGGCGTGCACTTGCCCGAACGCCTCCTTGGCGGCGGGCAGCGAGCACTTGTCCGGGTGTAGTCGCAGCGCCAGCAGCTTGTACCTCCTCCGCAGCTCGTCGAGCGACCTACAGCGCGAGCCGCCGCCGGTGAGCCGAGGACCCCTCCCGGCCCCGGGCCACGCCGTGGCCGGTGCCCGAGCGGCCCGAGAAGAAGCTCCGCCCCTCTGCCGCGAGCGTCGCGCCGCAGCGCGGTCGCCACCAGCTCGGCCGCGGTCAGCGCCGCCAGCCCGGGCTCCGAGATGAAGGACGCCGGAGAGGCGCCGCCGGCCGCCTGCCTCCTTCGCGCCTCGTCGAGCTGCCGCCTGATGAGCCGAAACCGGCGGTGAGGCGGGCTGGGGCGAGGGAGAGCCGCCGCTCTCTGCGACGCCGCTACCGCTGCAGCGCCGCCAGCTCCGCCTCACGGACCGACTTTTCGCACAGCAGCTGCGCCGTCAGCGCGATGCGAGCCACTCTCATCGCGGCGTGCTCCGCTCGCCGCAACTGCGGCGCGCGCGGCCGAGCGGGCTTACGGTCCGGAGGGCGTGAGATGCGGCGGGAGGTGGCGGGCCCCGCCTTCTTTGCGACGCCCCGTGTGCCTCTGCCTGCCTTCGGCGGCGGCGCGGCGACGGCGACGGTGTCGTCGTCCGTTTCGCCACAAGAAACCGCGTCGGGTGCGCCGTCGGATGAGCCGCCATCAGTGCTGGCGCTATCGGTGTCGGTGCTCGCGCCATTAGAGGAGGCACTGGCCGAGAGATGCTCCGCCGCTCCGCTCGCCTCCTCAAAGCCCGCCCAGACAGGGTCCTGATGTGCTCGCGCACACCAGAGGGCAGCCACCTCGGCGGAGCCGAGGCCGGAGAAGCGAATCTCGTTCTTGCTGCGAGTCGCCCGCACCTGGCGGCGGAGCCGAGGCCGGAGAAGCGAATCGTTCTTGCTGCTAGTACGCAGTTGGCTTAGGGTTAGGTTTAGGGTTAGGGATATGGTGAGGGTCAGGGTTAGGGATAGGGTTGTGTTAGGGTTAGGATCAGCAAAGCACCTGGAATTTTTGCCACACTCGGTTGACGCTCTTGAAGCCGGTTGCGCTGCTCGCCCGCTCGAACGTCAGCCCTTCTGCCGACGCCTGGGCCACCGCTTCTCTGGCAGTCAGTGTGCAGGTCGGGCCCAAGGCCGCATGCACCAACGCGCCAGCACGCTTCCCGCGCGCATAGCAGAGCGCCGCCTCCACTGCCGTGCCAAAGCGCCCGAGGAAGACGAGGCTGCCTGCCCGGACGCAATAGGCGGAGAAGCGGCCGTCGGAGAGGCGGCGGTAAACGCCGCGGTAGCCCGAGAGCGAGCCGCAGTGAATCTCGAGAGCAATGCCTTCGGCCTCGGCAGCCGCCAGGGCGAGGCGCGACGGAGAGGCGCACTCGGTCATGGGGCTGCCGGGCACGTGGCCCTCCGGGGGGGATTGGGCAAAGGAGCGAGCTCTCTCGAGGTTCTCGAGGTGGATATCCTTTGGCCGCGTTGGGTAGCGATAATTGGTGTGACGCGATCCACGCAGGCGTGTTTTCTGACGGCCGACCGTCAGTGCACGGAGTTGCCCTTTGTCGGACTGCCCCGGCTAGCTAGTTCCCGACCGAGGTCGTCGGGTGCGACCCCTGCGCCCCCCGAGACCTAGCGCGGGTGGGTTGGAGGGGGCTCGCTGCAAGGAAAGGCGGTGAAAGAAGCCGATCCCCGTAGTCCGCCCCGTCCCTCCCCATCGGGCCGCATGGCGGCCACGCCTCGCTTATTGGCCTTTATACGTTAATCGTTATTCTTCCCGATTCTATATTCTTTTTCGAAGCGATTTTCAGCGATTTTCAGCGGGAATAAACTCATAAACGTCGGGTGTGAGCTCCTCTGAGCACTGAGCACTGGGATAGGGTCGATTCCGCATGGACCATGGTTTGCAGCAGGGTTTTGCAGGTTGGTACGGGACAACGGGACCCCTCGATCGTCTCGGAGCTCCTCCTCGCTCGTCATTACATGTAATATGTGAAACCAGTGAGCACACAGCCTTTGAACGCCAACACGGCCCTTCGGCGTAGATAGAGCCGTACACGTGCCAGTCCGCCAGCTCTCCCGGGGCTCGCGGACTAATCAGTGGCAACTATCTAAGAACCCTCACTCACAGACGGTGCGCAGAGCCAAACTCGCCGCTACGCCTGAGCGACGAGGCCTCCTCGTCGCCGTCCGCCATGTCGACCGCTGGCACCGACCGCCGTCCCTTCTTTCTGCCCTTCTTGCTCGCCCGACCGCTGTGTGCAGCCGGTTGTGCCTGCGCGGCGCGCAGCAGCTCCTGCGACGTCTGTGACGTCAGCTCGAGGGCTGCGGCCGACGTCAGCTGTTCTTCCATGAGCGGCGCCTGGTCGTCCGTCTTCTTGCGGAAGATGTGCACCTGCCCGACTACTCGAGCGCTCTTTGGCGGCGCCGGCGCCTCCATGTCGCAGGCAGAGTCCGGGAGCGGCGCCGTGACCGCCCGCACGGGGGCCGCCTTTGTGCGCCGCGACTGGAAGGCCAGGGCGAGTGCGGCGCACACGACCAGCGTCCCCAGGCCGACTCCCGCGAAGGCTGCCACCGGCCACGCCTCGAGGGTGCGGAGGGCAACCGTCACGAGGCTCGGAGGCGTCGGGCCCGTCCAGCCGGGCGGGTACACAGGCGGCGGCGGCGGCGGCGACGGTGAGGGCGGCGGCGGCAGCGGCGGGGGCGGCGGTCTCGGCGGAGGCGGCGGCGGGCGGGGTGGGCGAGGTGGACGGCAGCCGTTGGTCCGGCGGTCCGCCTTGAGCTCCTCGCTGCAGCTGTGCGCGTCTGCGTCGGGGGTGGAGCAGGCGGAGACATAGACGGTGTAGGAGGTGCCGCACATCAGGGCCCTGCTATCGAGGATTTCCTCCTGGTGCACGCCGTCCGGTTCAAACCTCTCCCACCGCTGGTGGACGAGAAAGTGGCTCCCGACCTCGATGCGGAAGTGGAGGAAGCGCACGTGCTCCTGCTCACCCTGGTAGATGTTGACGGTGAGGCCCCTCGCGCCGCGGGGGAAGACGACGATGCTGTCGGGCTTGCGAGGCACCACAAACGGAGGCGTCGCCGGTGGCGCGGGCGGTGGCGACGGGGCTGGCGACGGCGGCGGAGGGAAGGGTGGCGACGGCGGCGATGGCGGAGAGGGCGGCGGCGGCGGCGGCGGCGGGGAGGGCGGCGGCGGCGGCGGCGGCGACGGGGGTTCAGGGGGGCACATGACGACCGGATCACCACGACGGCACTCCATGTTCTGGCTCACCATGAATTTGCATCCGTAGATGACGCCGCGACTCTCCTCGAAGGTCCTCGCGCATTGCGCGCGGTGACCGTGCCAGTGAGAGCAAATGCTTCGGTCCGCCCACGCGGCGGCTGCCCGGGCGGCGAGCGAGCAATCGTACGGCGGCGGCGGCGGTGCCGGAGAGGGAGGCGGCGGCGGTGGCGGGAACGGGAACGGCGGCGGGCTCGGAGGGGGTGGCGGCGATGTGGGTGGCGACGGAGGCGGCTTGGCCGTCGGGCTGAGGGGCGGCGCTGGCGGCGGGCAGGGGTCGGTGGGGGCGCCCTCGGCGCAGAAGCCGAGGTTCCACTCGCACGGCCGGATCCTCCCCTCCTCCTCCGATGTCCAGTAGCGGAGGCACTCGTCGCGCGAGACGATGTCCCAGCACGAGACCCTCTGCCAGAGAGGCAGGCTCTGCAGGTCGATCCGCGTCGCCTGCAGGCACTCGAAGGGGGGCGCCGGAGGCGGCGGCAGGGGCAGCGGCGGCGGCGAGGGGGTCGGTGGTCGCGGAGGTGACGGCGGCTGCGGCGGCTGCGGCGGGTCGGGCGGCGGCCCGGGAGGGGGAGGCGGCGGAGCCGGCGGGGGTGGAGAAGGCGGCAGCGGAGGTGGCGGCGCCGGAGGCGTCGGCGGCGAGGGCGGCGGGCAGACGATGGGTGGCCCGTCGTCGCACGTCCCGTGGTTGTGGTAGTCTGTGTAGACGCACGGCCTCCTCGAGTTGCCCTCCTTGATGTAGAACTTTTCGCAGACCGCCCGGCCCTCGCCAGAGTACTCTGTGCAGCGCGTGGTGTCGATGTAGACGGGGTGCCGCCGGCCCTCGAAGACGGAGCAGTCCTGCGACAGCACCACCGTAGCCGCGGGTGCCAGCGCGAGCAGCCACGCACGCCCACGACCGCCGCGAGACATGCTCGAGTCGCAGCAGCGGGGATGCGCCCGCCGTCTGCCCGTCGCGCGAAGTCTGCCGGGAAAGTGTGTTGTCGCCGGCCACATCTTTTTTCTTTGCCGGCTCGTTTTTCTTTTTACACGAATTCCATGGCGCACGCCATTAGCAAAGCTCGCCTCGGCTGGGCCGACAAGCCTGCAGCGCTCCTTGCCCTCAGCGAGTACCTCGCCTCGCTTCCAGGCGGCAGCGCCGACCTCGTGAGAGGCTGGACGACACGGACGGCGATAGGGCGAACCGGAGACAGAAACATTTATTACCACGATGAAGACGGCACCAAATATCGGAGTCGAGGAGAAGTCGCCGAGTCCTTTGGACTGGCGCAAGGCAGACACAGGCAGATTGGGCAGCTCGACGCCGCTGCGGTCGACAAGAAGATGTGGAATGGCGCCTGGAGCGCAGGCTGGCGCGTCAGCACGACTCGCGACTGCCATTCGACCTACACGTCGCCGGACGGCCGCACCTTTCGCACGCGAGCGGAGGCGGAGGCGGAGGCAGCGGCGAAATCAGGCGCTGGCGGTAAGAAGCGGAAGCGAACGGCGGCCGCGCCAGCTGCAGTCGAGAAGCGGAAGCGAGCCGGAGCCTCGCCGGCGACCTCTCGCAGCCTCCCGCCGCCGCCGCCGCCGCAAGTCCCCACCCCCGTCCATCCAGCCCCTTCGGGAGGTGGCGGAGGCGGAGGCGGCGGAGGCGGCGGAGGCGGCGGAGGCGACGGAGGCGGCGGAGGCGGCGGAGGCGGCGGAGGCGACGGAGGCGGCGGAGGCGGCGGAGGCGGCGGAGGCGGCGGAGGCGGCGGAGGCGGCGGTGGCACGCTGCCCGCTCCCCCGCCCCTTGGCATGGCGCCGGTTGCGGGTGCGCTCGAGGCGATTGGCCTCTCGAGCTACGCCGACCGGTTCGACGAGCTAGGGTACGACGACCTCGCTTTCCTCGCGCAGATGGGCGGGGAGGAGCTGAGGCAGGTGGCGGTGGAGGTGGAGATGAGGCCCGGCCATCGCGACAAGTTTGCGAGCTGGTTTGGGGACGTGGCCCGGCGCTGGTAGCGGCCACACTCGCACCACCGCAGCTGGCGCGGTGTGGGTGGGACGGTGCACACAGCGAAACGGCTTTCCTGGCGGGATCCCAGTCTCCGATCCTGTGGCCGTCCGTTGGGGATTGTGGGGATCCTGTGGCGCGGTGTGCGGAGTCGCCCGCTGTGTCCATAGCGACGATGTGTTAGAAGCTACGACCCTCTACATTTCGCCCCCCAATGTGCGCACACTCGTGGTGTACGTGGACACGGTCGCGCACACAGCCACACTACCCTATACGCGATCTACGGCTATGTCGTAGATGCTAGACCACATGGCATCACACACAGCGTTTGCTTTCACACACTCATTACACATTTTTCTTTTGCATTCGGATCCGTTATCATCGCTTTTCGCTTCCGCTCCTTGAGCCTCTTCCGCGCCTGCCTCCGCTGCTTGCCACTCGTGCCGGCGAGCAGCTCCGCCATCGGCCGCGAGAGCAGCGCTGCTCGCTTTGCGCTTAGCGGCGCCTCAACCGGTGCGCCGCCGCCCTCTGCCCTCCGCCGCACCTTCGCGCCCTTCGCCTCGGAGGGCGGCCGCAGCCTGGGCCGCAGCTCCGCGCCGCCGATCGGGGGCTCGAGGGCGGAGGGGGCGGCGCGGAAAGCGGTCCGCAGCGCCGCGAGCGACGCCTCGCTCGGCCGTGGCGCTGCGGCGGACTGGAGGAAGAAGAGGGAGGTGTCGTGGTTGGCTGCCCGCCACAGGGCCGGCCGGTAGTGCTGCCCGCCCTCGAAGAACCCGTGCTCCGCCTGAGGCAGCCGCAGGTGCGCCGAGCAGCGGCACGACTGCTCGAGCGCCCGCCAGCAGGGCTTGTCTTGCCAGTGCGGTATGATGACGATGAAGGTGAGGGCGTCGCGCCGCGCGTCGGCCGAGGCGAGCAGCGCGTGCATCCGCTCGCCTGGCCGGGGTTGGGGGGGCGGGTCGTGGGGCTGCTCTGTCTCGTCGGCTGCATCTCGGTTGCATCTCGGTTGCATCTCGGCTAGCATCTCGGCTAGCATCTCGGCTAGCATCTCGCCCATGGCTGCGACGAGGGGCGGGTCGTAGGGCGGGTTGGCTTGGAACGCGCCAGAGGCGAGGAGGGGGTCGAGCGAGGGCGAGAAGAAGGAGCCGACCTGCGTCGCAGTTACAGGGCGTGAGGTGGCGGAGGGGCGGGTCTCGAGGGCGGGCGAGGGCGAGGACCGAGCCAAAGGCTCGGTCGACGTCGGGCGCGGCGGAGCAGAAGGAGGAGAAGCGCGCGTTGAGCGGCGAGGCGAAGAGCTCGAAGGCGGCGCCGTGGTGGCGGGCGAGCGCGTCGAAGACCCGGTACCCGACCGCCGCCTGCATCCCTCCCGCCCGAGGCTCGCCGCCCTGCAGCGCCAGCACGCGGGCGAGCACGCAGTAGGCGCGCCTACTCGTCGCCCACTCGTCACCAATCCACGAACTAAGGCACGCGCGACGAGCGCCCAGCGAGGCGACCGCTCAAAGAGCCGCTCGCCGCTCGCCGCGGCGGCATCGCCGGCGTCGCCGCTCCTCAGCAGCGCGCGCAGCTTCTCGAGGTGCGACCGCTTGCACACCACGCTCTCGCCACCGCACGAGAGGGTGACGGTGCCGCCCGAGCCGGAGCCGCTCAACCGCACCTCCGACGCGGCCTGCTGCGGGCCGGCCGCGGCGCGAGCGCACGCCAGGCGCCCCGCGAGCGCCTTGGCCCTCTGCTCGAGTGCTGCCGTCGCCGCGAGCGCCGCCTCCTCGCTCATGCCGGCGCAAACCAGCTTCCGGCGCAGCGCCGTCGACGCCTCAGCTGCCGGCGGGTGCGGAATCACGGGAGCTCCCTCAGAAACGCCCGCTCGGGCCGACCACAGCCACTGCTCAAAGTGCGAATGCAGCTTGCGGCCACCGAGCGCGGCACACTCGCTGTGGAATAGCTCGGAGAGCTGCCGCACGCTGGCGAGGCCGAGTGCCTCGCACACTGGCACTGGAAGTGGGCTGGGCTCGGAGGATGCCGTGCTGCGTTTTGGCATCGTGAGCAGCAGCCGTCTTGGGTGCGTGGTTGTGTTTTCTGTGAGCAGCAGCGGCGCGTATTTTTCTTTTGTGCAGAAACTTCGTTCCGAATCGTTGAGAAAAGGACCCCCAGATCCAAAGGGAAAACAGATGACCCGCGCCCGTCGTCCTTCGTGGGAGCGCCCGCCGCAGCCCGTCGCCGGACCCCGACCGAGTATCATGCGGAGCCTCGCCATCCTGGCGCTCACGCTGGGCACCTGCGCCGCAGTGCCCGCCGTCGAGTCGTGGATGGTGGAGGACGGCTTTCTCGCCGACGACGAGCGGCAGCTTGAGGAGGTGGCGGCCGGCGGCACTGCAAAGCGCAAGACGTGCCCAATCACAAACCTGCCCGGCGATTACCGGTACGAGGCGTGCGGCGAGTTTTGCAAGGAGCCAAAGGCGGGAAACCACTGCCGCTACTGCAAGTGCAAGTCGTGCTCATTTTGCCAGGCGCGGCTCGCCGACGTCGCGAACCAAATCCATGACAACAAAGTGCAGCTAAAGGCGAAGCGGAAGGCTCGGAAGGCAGCGGCCGCAGGCGATGCTGGGCAAACGGTGACCGTGCAGGTGCAGACGGGGGCGAAAAAGCGCAAAAACAAGGGAGCGGCGGCGGGTACGACCACTACCCTCTGAGCTCTTTGCGACGAGAGGTTCCCTGGCCGGTCATGTTTTGCGGCACGAGCTTCCCTTAGAGAGTTGAGTGGGGCGGTGGCGCCGCCGCTGTGATGCGAGCTATAGCGGCTGGCGAGAGGGAGGGCTGTGCTGCGGAGAGCAGGCAGATGCGAGCTCGCTCCCTGCTGCGGTACAAGAGAGAGCGGAGAGGTGCCGCACAGAGGCCACGCGCAGTGCGCGCTCGAGACGGCGCGTGCCGAGAGTCGAGAGAGAGTGCAGAGTGCGCACTCGCCGCGAGACGCTGTGGTGACGCTGCTCTGTGAGAGAGTGTGATTCGTGCGGTGTTTGCTGAAAGGCACTTAATACCCCGACAACAACCATAAGGCAGCTTCCATGAGTCTCACATCTTCTTCTTCTTTGCCTTTGCCTTGGCCGCCCGCCTCGCCTTGCGGTTCGAGCCGCCCGGCGCCGCTGACATGGATTCAGTGACGGCGTCCGGGTCCTCGCCCGCCGCAATGCGGCGAGTAGACTCACGCATCGCCTCGAACTGCATCAGAAACAGCGCCACCTCCGTCTCGGGTTGACCAGAAGCCGTGGCAAGCCGCTGGATGCGCGGGCCTGGCTTGGCGGCGCCCGCCTTGAGGTCATCGATCAGGAGAGCCGGATCGCTCTTCTCCTCGGGCAGCATCACATCGACGATGCTTGCGTGCCGTTCGAACTTGGCCCGCGTCTCCAGCATCTGGTCCGTCGAGAGCTTTCCCGGGAGCGCGCCTCCCGACTCGCCAATCCCAGCGAAGCCGCGCGCCATGATCACAAAGTCATCGAAAGTGAGCTCGCCGGTCTTGGCGCGCGCATCGATGTCGGCTACGACCCCTTCGATGTCCGAAGGCCGCTTGGCGCCGCCAGCCGCCTCTGCCGGCGCCTCCTCTGTGTCCATCCCGGCCGCCGCGGCCACACCCTTGACTCCGTCCACAAGTGTGCCAAACATTTTCGAGGCGAGGCTCTCCATGACGACCGGCCGCGACCGCGACAGAGAAGCCGGGGCGAGCGGCGCCCGCGGAGCGAGGCCAACAACAAAAAGGGCTGAGAGCATGTGCGTGTATGTGCCAGGATTCTTCCTCGCCAAAAGAATTGTAAAAATCTAGCACAACACTGGGCACAGTCCTGTGCGCCAAAAGAAAACCGCCAGCCGAGAGAGCCGAGAGAGCGATGGTGGCGGCGTGCCGTCCTCCCATCCCTCCCTTGGGTTGTCTGTTTTCTTTCTTTCTTTCTTTAGAGAGCGAAGAGATGAGTGGGAGAGGGAGAGGGAGAGAGAGAGAGAGAGGGAGGGAGGGAGGGAGGGAGAGGGAGAGGGAGAGAGAGAGAGAGAGAGAGAGAGAGAGAGAGAGAGAGAGAGAGAGAGGCGCAGAGAGAGAGAGAGAGAGAGAGAGAGAGAGAGAGAGAGAGAGAGAGAGAGAGAGAGAGAGAGAGAGAGAGAGAGAGAGAGAGAGAGAGAGAGAGAGAGAGAGAGAGAGAGAGAGAGAGAGAGAGAGAGAGAGAGAGAGAGAGAGAGAGAGAGAGAGAGAGAAAAGAGAGAGAGACTCTTCTGAGCACTTGAGCACTGGATAGGGTCGGTTCCGCATGGTACGGGACCCCTCGATCGTCTCGCCTTCTCTCTTAGTTGCGCGACGCGCCGCACGCGCGCACCGTCTCTTTCCGAGAAGGCTCCCACGCACCCTCCAGCTGTGGGGCACGCACACGAACAAAAACATTGCTAAAAATCTCTCTCGCACACGCGAACAAAATTCGCTCTCACCTGGCAACCCTGTCTGCACGTCTCGCGCGCGCGTGAACAGGGCTCCAGGCCCCAAATTACGTGTGAGTGTTAGAGTTGTTTGGTATTGCTAAAAATCTCTCTCTCTCACACGCGCGAACCAAAACACGCGACAAACAAACGGAAACGCGCAAACTAACTAAAGTCTAAACACAAAATCTGACCCTCCCGGTCTCTCGCACGGTGCCGAGAGTTGTAGACAAGACTCGCCGCATCCCTAAAAGCTAATTTCGCCCGGAAAATTATTTCGCAGCACGACGTTCGCCGAGACTCCGCCGAGACACCTCCAAAGGTTCCAGAGTCGACTCTAGACGCTCCGAAGACACGCTCCAGACGGTCCTGTTCTCAGATGTTCGTCTACGCCAAGCCCTCCTGCCGTCCGTGCGCGCGCCCGTGCGCACCCTCCGCCCTCCACCTCATCGTGCTCTTCCTCGCGGCCCCGCTCCTACTCCGCGTAGCCGTCGTGCTCCTCAGCTCGCTCCTTCCGTTTGCGCTCATCGCCCTCGCTATGAGCGCGCTGTTTTGGCATCCGGATCCCGTCCTCTTTCACTTCACCAAGAAGGACTGCCAGGCAAAGCGCCGTGAGGCCCAGCCTCCGGGAAAGGCGATTCCCGCCGCGTCGAAAAGCGAGAAGTTTGACGTCACGATTCCCGCACCGGGGATCGCACAGGAGGACGTGCAGGCGGAGGTGAATCACGAGAACGTGCTCATCATCCAAGCTGAGACGGACTCCTTCCACGGCGAGCATCGCGCGCGCTTCTGCCGCGCCATCCGGCTTCCCGCTTCGGTTGACGTCTCGAGTCTTGCAATCGAGGTCACAAACGGCCTGGTTCGCGTCACCGCGGGCAAGAAGCAGCCCATCAAGGTGGCCATCGTTCCTCCCGCAAAATCCGAGCCAGTTGATGCAGAGTCGGGCACGGTTGATGACGCGGACGCTGCCGACGCGAACGCCACCTCGGAAGCCGAGGGTGACGGCCTCGGCGACGGCTTTGTTCGGGTCCGCGAGTCCAAGTGAGTCTGGCCTGGCGTGGCGCCCGTGAGCGCTCCCACGCCACCTCACTTCTCCGCCCCAACACTGAAGATCGTGTACAGTAGCAAGCCGCTGGGAGAGAGGAGTCCACGCAACGGAAACCGAAAGCCCCTGTGTGTGCTGTGAATGCCCCCCTTCCTTGCTCGCCTCCCCAAGCCCCTGTGCGATGTGCATGTGGGACGTGGGCCATTTCTTTTAGTAGAGAGTGTCAAAGGAAGAAACAAACTGTGAAAATGTACATTCAAAAAGTAACGGCCGCGCCCGGAGCGCGGAGGGGTGCAGACAGGGTGCAACACCCAACACGATTTTTTATAGAATCTTAGAATCGATCGATCGAACTAGCTACCGGCAGGGCCTCCACGACACCACCTCACCCCCTCATAGATGTAGCGCGCTGCGTCGCCGTATTTCTTGCAAACAGCTGTGAAACGAAAGTGTGCCCGCGGACGGAACTTTCGCCACGGACGGCCGAGTTCGTGGGGCCCGACGCAGCTGTGACACACACTGCGCCTGGCTTCCGCGTCCACATCCGGCACAGAGCCTGCATCGACACAGTTATGGGCAAGGGCGGGTGCGACGCGGTCGGCGTCGCACTTTTCGTGGGCGCGACAGCCGTCGGCGTCATTGTCGCCGTCGCCAACAAGGCAATGTACCAGCTCGAGGTTGTCGGGAGAACCGGCGAGCTGGAGAGCTTCACGCCGCCGCTGTTTGGCACTCTCGTGATGTTTCTTGGCATGGCACTGGCGCTGCCGCTGCACTGGTGGGAGACGCGAGGGTCGCAGGCGCAGTCCCTCGACTGCAAGACGATCGCCCTACTGAGCATCCCGACGATGTTTGACCTGGTCTCGACGAGCCTGGCCACGCTGAGCGTGATATTGCTGCCCCTGTCGACGTGCATTCTTCTCCGCTCCTCGGCGGTCATCTTTGTCGCCCTGCTCAAGCACTATGTGCTCAAGGACATCCTCTCCCGCTCTGAGGCGGTGGGCGTCTTCATCATCACCCTCGCGATCCTCCTCGTCGGCTACGTCGGTGTGTCGGAGGACGGCGGGACGAGGCAAGACGGAATAGATGACTCGATGCCGTCAGAGGTGGAGGGGCAGAATAGCGGAGGGGCGATGCTGGGTGTCGTCTTCGCCATGGGGTCGGTGCTGGTCGCGGCGCTTCAGTATGTGGTCGAAGAGAAGCTGCTCGACGACCTCTCCACGCCGCCAAACCTGCTGGTGGGTGTCATGGGCGCCGTGGGTGTCGCCCTCACCCTATTCGTGACGTACCCGGTCTACTACTTCTTCATCCCTGGCTCGGACCACGGCCGCTTCGAGGACCCGGTAAATACGCTCGTCAAGCTTCAAAATAGCGGCGCCGCCTGCGCCCTCTCCGCCATCGACCTCTTCTCCGTCCTCTTGCTCAACGTGATGACCATGTACATCATGCAGCGGCTGTCGGCAGTCTGGGGCGCCATCCTCGGCAACATCCGGCCGAGCGTCACCTGGCTCGCGCAGCTGGGGCTCTACTATGGGGTGACAAACGGCGCCTTTGGCGAGTCGTGGAAGGGGTTCGAGAGCTGGCTGCAGCTGGTCGGCATGGTGATTCTCTTTGTGGGCATGGCGGTCTACAACGGCACGTTTGAGGGGCCAGCGCCGGACGCAGCGGGCCCTGCGGCGTACAAGCAGTCCTCTGCGGTGCGCTTATCGTCGCGGAAGACGGGGTCGGCCTCCTCGCTGAGTAACCCGCTCTTGGGGTGACTGACAGCCGCGTGTTTGCATGTGGACAAAATACAAATAATTCTCAAAGAAGGGGGTGTCCTTGGACCTTGCAGAAAGAAGAACGAAAACAGGCCGGGAGGGGTGGAGGGATGGCAGCACGGCATGTAAAGATGCGAAATTCTTTTTCCACGATCAACAAACTGCGCGCTCCTATTTTCTTTTGGGTCCTGTGGGCACCCTATATACATGTACCATACGACCCAAGAGACCTCGCGGGGCGTGCGAAACTGGATCCCCCCGGGCCAGGGTGGCAGAGCGGGGTAAAGGCCCATTTCGCCGCCTCGCGTCGCTGTCCTCGCCCGTGAGTAGTGAGTGAGTGTGAGTGCGTCACTCTCTCACACACACGCGTCCTCGCCGTAGCTGTGCAGCCAAAGAAATCGCGGGGAGCATCGGCTCGCTCAAAGCGCCCGACAGCCCTCGTGACCTCACTGCCACGGCACCTTCCGCCCCGAGCACTGAGGCACAGGCACTGGCGCATTACCACGCCGCTCTCGCACACCAAGCTTCTGGCCGCGTCGGCGCTGCCGTGCGCCACTTCCGTGCGGCGCTGGCGTTGCAGGCAGATTTCCCGGCAGCGCTCTGCAGCCTCGCCAGAGCGCAGTCCTCCATCTGCGATTGGTCGAGCCGCGAGGCGACGCTCGTCTCGGTGCGAACCAGCCTCGTGCGCCAGCTCGACGAGGGTGCCTGCCCGGCGCTGCAGCCCTTTGACGCCTTTGCGGTGCCGCTCGAGCTGCCGCTTGTCCTTCGGCTCGCACAGGCGCACGCCGCGGCCGCCGAGGCCGTCGCCGCAAGCCTGAGGCCTCTCCTCCCTCCGGGCGGCCTCTGCCACCCGCCGCGCGACGCGGCGGCCGGCAGCGGCGCGGCGGGCGCGACGCGGCTCCGAGTGGGGTACGTGTCTGCCGACTTTGGCGACCACCCGCTGACACACCTGACACGAGGGCTCCGCGATGGGCCTTCTGCTCGGCGCCGTGGCCGCAGGCGCACCGACTGCCGCCCGTGCGCTGCGCCGTAGGCTCTTTGCCCTCCACGACCGCAGCCGCCTCGAGGTGTTTTGCTACTCGCTGCGCCAGAGCGACAGGTCTGCGCCTCGCGCCGCTGTCGAGTCTGCAGCAGAGCACTTCGTGGACGTCTCCTCGAGCGACAGCGCCGCGATCGCGGCTCGGATCGCGGCGGACGGCATCCACGTCTGCGTCGACCTCAACGGCTTCACGAGCGGCGCGAGGACGGAGCTCTTCGCGCTTCGGCCCTCGCCTCTGCAGGTCGGGATGCTCGGCTTCCCGGGTGTGATTATATTATTTATATTATATTATATTATATTATATCTGCAGGTCGGGATGCTCGGCTTCCCGGGTGTGATTATATTATTTATATTATATTATATTATAGGTCGGGATGCTCGGCTTCCCGGGTGTGCGGCATGCGGGGCCTCGACTGCCACGCGACGGACCCTGACCCCGCCCCGGACCCGGACCCAGGCTCGTCGGGAGGCGCCTTCCTCGACTACCTCGCGACCGACGCCGTCGCCTCGCCGCCGCAGCTCGAGCGCCTCTACTCCCGAGGCGTTTGCTCGCTCCCGTCGCGACGTGGCAGTGACGCGTCACTGCCACGCGACAGGCATCTCTACTCGGAGGCACTGCTCCGGCTGCCGCCCTCGTACCTCGTCACCGACCACGCGCAGACCCTCCTCCACTGCGGCGCGCACACGCTCCGCCCTACCCCACTCGGACGCCCGCACACGCACCCGCACCCGCACCCGCACCTGTGCACAGGCATTCTGCCTCCGACGGCCGTCTCGGCGGCGTGGCTGCGAGGCGGCGGCGGAGGCGGAGCGGGTGGCGGCGACGAGGGCGGCGGCGGAGGCGGGGACAGCGAGGGCGGCGAAGGGTGGGGCTTGCGCGAGATTCTGCGGCGGAGGTATGGTCTGCCCCCTCTGGGTGTGGTGTTTTGCTGCTTCAGCCAGCTGTACAAGGTGGACCCGGCGACCTTTGCCGCGTGGCTCTCCATCCTTCGCCGCGTGCCCGGCTCCGTGCTGTGGCTGCTCCGCTTCCCTCTAGAGGGGGAGGTGGACCCCTCTTGCCGCCAGCCCTCCC